ATATAGGCCATAATGACTACAAGTTAGAATGGATGAGGTTAGATAAAAAGGCTAACAACTTATTAAAAGTACCTTAATCACATACATGCCTTTGTTCACTCAAGGTCTGAGTGCTAATCCCATTTGAAATAACATCAAAACGAAGTCCACATGTCATACTTTTCTGGACGCGAAACCTCACAGGAGTTCTACATACACAAAGATTCAATGAAATTTAATTCATGCCCTTAGTGCATTTTGACAAAAAACATATTGAGGCCTCAGAACTAAGGGCGTACACGACTGAAGTGGGTGCATTTAGTTTTGAGCTTGCGGTAAATAATCATTCAGGACAAATACAGTTCATAAGCATAATTTCAACTGGTACCGGCAATACCAATGCCAGTTGTGTGGTTAACATCAGTTACCAGCCAAGGTTGTTGCTGGAATCCGCAGTCGGCGGTAGACGAAGCGGCGCCTGGTTCCACCAACATCTGTTTCAAATAGGCGATCAAGGGCCAGTGATCCACACCTCCAAGAATGTGTCCTACCGGCAGGTGAACCAAAGTGACCACACCCTTCGAGTGGAACACACCGTCTCCAACTGACGTTGTTGTAGAGGAGGACTGTGATGGCGGCGAAGTATCACTTTTGTTAGTGGCACCATTGACGACCTGTTGCTCCGTCATGCTATGCAGAAGGGAGGTTGATCACTCGATTTGGATGCCAACTTGAGACGGTCAATTGGCAGGGGCGAAACAGCGCCTAGAAGATACTCACAGCTCGAGCGAAAGGACTGAGCTCGAGACCGTGGCTATGCCCTGAGACCGGTTGGAATGTTGTTGGTCTGAGCTTCTTGTGAAGTAGACGAACCTCGAGACTAATTAGCCATACGCCCGATCGGTTCGGTTTCTAAAGTTACCTGCAGGGTGGTGAACATCAACTATGACCTCTTCTTATATATCCCACTGTCTTACTCCCTTTCTAGTAAGCCATATACATCATGCACTTGCTCACTTTAAATGGCCCTTGCCCAAAAAGCTGGTTTCTTTACCGCTCGTATTTCACTCCTTATGAGCTCATCTGGTCGCCACCCGTCGCTCTATACACGGCCGGATAAGCTATCCAACCGTCCATCCATGCATCTGTCCTGGCCATATAAACATTTGCTCATCTGTATGCACCAAGTCAAGTATGAGTTAAAATGAAATGTATCATTATTCCCATTCTTACTGTCCATTTTTCCGCCTATCGCCTGCACATGTTGACTTATTCGCATAGTCAACTGTCGATCTATTATAAATGTTACATCCCACGGCTAGAATATGATGTATCCCAGTGGTTGACATGGGCAATTTCACACCTCCATGCCGCAAAGCCTAATGTTTAGGTTGATATGCCTCGCCAGCGACCAATCGCTTTAGGTCGCGTTGTCGTATCAGGCAACTCCCAGCCTCCTTATTCGGCCAGGATGCACAAGAATTTCGCGGATCTGCCTTGTAGGGAGACTCACGGATCCCGCGAACCAGTCAAATAACTCTGCCCAGGATTGACTTTATTCGGCCAATCGGGGCTCAGGATAATGGTATCATCTCATGCTCTCGCTTTCTACACAAAATTTGTATCATACATCACTCCTGCGACTATAGGACGAATCAGCTGTAGCAGCATAAATTAATCTTAATCAAATAATAGACGAAAAGTTGAGTACTTAGTGGAAACACTATTGGAGACTTTATTCGTGTAAACCAAGCATGTTTCCGATATAAGTAGTTTTCGAGATTTGAATAAGATGATTTAGATGAGTTTTCCACCATTCATGATTTCACTCATCCCCTTATCCCTTTAGTAGACAAGGCAAAATGAAATTTAATATATAAAGAATAATTTTGGTTCGATGAATTTCTTTACATTGCTGCAGACACCTTGACTCAATATGAAAATGCAGAAGGAAGAGATTTATGGGTAGATCTCATTGATAGACGATGCCACATGCACATGTACACAGACATTCATCCTGATTTATATTATATCTAAACATTTTCGTTTATTAATGAATATATAGGGCATCAAAGAAAGAGCGGGATAGTCTTCTTGACTTACTATTGAATTGGATCATTTGCAAAAATAGGCTACAGCTCTGGCGGTGTCACTCAGGTAACATAACGGAGGAAATCTTGGCTCACTTTGAAGGAAAAGTTGGTTGGAAGGACTTTGTAATGCAGTCTCACTGAAAAGAGAATTAAGATTGCCACGTAGGAAAGACTTTTGTATTGTGCGAAGAAGACCTCGGCTCACCGTCCTTCGATCCCGATGAACCTGTACTAAACCTTAGTATGTACTGTAAAAGGTATCATCAAAGCGAAAATCCATACTTTACGAA